TCACATTTTTCAGAGCCCCTGTAACTTTGAACGGTCACTAAATGAACTGTTGTAAGTTGAGCACTACCTGTAAATGCATCCTTTTCTCAAGTTCACTGCAGGTGGACTATCTCCAGAAGAACTACATTGTCAAGGCCTAGAAGCTATAGGACCAGGCTAGGAATGTCTAAGAAAACCTCTTTAAGCAGAGTCTGGCCCTTACCCACCCAGATAAAAATAGGAAGGGAGAGTCCAGTCTGGGTCAGGCATAAAGATAATCATACAACATTCCAACCTAAAAATATATATTTAACCATGTATTCAGTGGTGGGATTCACATTTTTTTTACTACAGGTTCTGTGGGTGTGGCTTGCTGGGCATGGCTTGCTGGGCATGGCAAGGGAAGGCTATACTGCAAAATCTCCACTCCCACTCCACTCCAGGGGAAGGATGCTGTAAAATCATCATATAAAGTAGGCACCTCAGAAAGATCTGCAACCCACCGCGGTCAAAGCCTGGGAAAAGAGCCGGGTCTAATGGATTTCTCTAAATAAGACAGTGGTGGGATTCAATTTTTGTTTTTACTACCAGTTCTGTGGGCGTGGCTTGGTGGGCATGGCAGGGGAAGGATATTGTAAAATCTCAATTCCCTCCCCACTCCAGGGGAAGGTTACTTCAAAATCCCATTCCCTCCCCACCCCACTAACCTGCTTTCCAGCTCCATTCTCCTGTGCAGGGCAACGAAAGAAGACCCAGCCAATGATCAGCTGGGACTCAGGAGGCAGAGAATAGATGGGGTTGGCGGGGCCAGTCAGAAGTGGTATTTGCCAGTTCTCTGAACTACTCAAAATGTTTGCTACCGGTTCTCCAGAACTGGTCAGAACCTGCTGAATACCACCTCTGCATGTATTGTATTATGTATTGTTACTACCGGTAAGTATAGTATTATGGATGGTTGTTTCATTGCAGTCAGCACTTTACCCTGTCAGCTTATACTCCAAAAAGGCAACAACATCTGGAAATTGGAATTTGTAACATAAGAACAAATCTTGTGTAAAAAGTCTAGGGGGGGGGGGGTCAAGACAACTTCACTAACTCCAGACAACATTATTAACTGTAATCATCAGTCTGCTTAGAAACTGATGTCCGACATACCTGAAAGACATAAGGTTAAAGAAGGATAATCTAAACCAGGGGTGTCAAACTCACGTCATGACGTGAACAAAATTATTTCCTGGGATCTGCTATGTCCAACTCACAATTCTGATGGACATTTTCCAACAGCTGTGCATGTCCTTTGGAGGTGCCCCAATTCCTACTTTTGTTTCCCCCAGTGTGCCTTTCGGATCCAGGTCATCTACAGACCCAGCTTATTGGAGAAATTGGTTCGATTTACTGCCAAAGCAAGTTATATACAGTACACCTCTGGATAAACTATGCTTCAGTAGTTGGGGACACATTTAGATAAGGTTATCAGACCTGGGCTACAACAATCAGGACAACCATTAGATGGCAGCATGGAATAAAGAGTTTTGTGTATTCTTCTGCTGCCCCCTTTTGGTCATGGGATTTTTACAGCCCTGTTCTGGGAAACCTCATTAAGCCATTCAGAGTTTATGATTAGTATGCATGGGTCTGTATGTTCCCAGTCAGTGCCAGCTATTTTGATACTGAGGTGGCTTGCTCACAAGAAGAAGAATGATAATAAATTAAATGACTGTAATTTATTAAGTGACTGTGTTTGGCATGCAGGATTTTGGCATCTGCAGCCCTTTGTTATGCAATGTTATGAATTTATCTTTGCAAAAATCTAGCCAACCAGCTGTTCCAATTCATCTTTAAGGGACAAAATCTTTATAATATTCTCTAATGTTGCTTATAGGCAGAATGATGTACATGCCAATCAATACTGGTTTGCTTAGTTCTGATCTAGTATGTTGGCTAAACTCAGACATTGTGGTACACAAAAGATGGTTTATAGCTTAAGGCAGGGGTCCCCAAACTTGGCAACTTTAAGACTTGTGGACTTCAACTCCCAGAATTCTCCAGCCAGCAGGAGTTGAAGTCCACAAGCCTTAAAGCCTGGGAGTTGAAGTCCACAAGCCTTAAAGTTGCCAAGTTTGGAGACCTCTGGCTTAAGGTGTTCTATGAAGCCAGCCAATTATGATTTATCCAAGAAAGCATGGATAAACGAGCCATTGCTCAATGTAATATGGATACCCAGTCATACTCCCCTTCCCCACATATTGCCTGGTGTAAAATGCAGCATCAATTGCACAAATAGAATGACTGACTGCTTGCTCTCCTTTAACAGCATTCAAATTATATCAGCATAGGGGATTTGTAATGGTGAGAAGAGAAGCTGCTTCTCCTGTTTATTGTGTTGGGTGGAAATGAGCTGAAATCAGTGTTTCCAGAAGATACCAGGCTAGGAAAGGATAGTAAAGAATAAAACGAGCCTGAATGTTTTACTTATTTATTTGTCAACTTTCTGCTCTCAATCACTCATGCCCTAGCCTAGTCAATGCCCAAATGAACTATTGCAATGTGCCTTTGAAGAGTATCCAGAAGCTTCAGTTGGTACAAAATGCAGTGGCACAGGCAGTTATTGTGTGCTTCAAGATCTGTACACATTACATCTCTGCTACACAAGCTGCATTGGTGGTCAGTTTACTTCCAGGTTCAATGCAAAATGCCCTTAAAGCCTTACACGGCATGTGACTGGGATATTTGAGGGACTGTCTCACCCCAGTTACATGCGTCAGGTTTGGCAGGAAAGGCCTGTTATTGGTCCCATTGGCTAGAGAATGTTGTTGTGTGGAACCTTGGAAGGAAGCCTTTTCTGCTGTAGCCCCTTCCCCAAGGAACATCATTCTACTCAGGCTAACCTGGAACCATGAGATGGGCAGCAAATACATTTGATAGCAATAAATAATAATCATCCCCCCCAAAATAAGGTTGAATCCAAGCCTATTGGCCATCAGGGAGATCCTTAAAACATGGCTTTGTCAGCTATCTTGGGAATCCCATAGTAAAGTGGAGCCTGTTAGATGGTTATGTGGATTAATGGAATACACTCGCTATATGTTTTCCTTCTGCCTTGTTTTTATTTGTTTTTGTCTTGTTTTAATTTTATTTTAATTTCGATTGGTTGTGTAGGAAGTTGGCACCCACCCCTCTCCTAGAAAAGTGAAATATCCTAGGAAATATTAAAAAGGCAGAATATTTCCCCTAAAAAGAGTAGAAACTCAGAAGCAGAAACTCACCTCAGAAGTAGAAGCTCACCCCCACTTTTGTTAATGGGTGGGCCATAATACTGTACATAACAAAGATCTCCAGGCAAAACTATAGCAATTGCTCAAAAGCCCTTTCTGTGCATCATCATCCAGCAAGGCTCAACCAAGCCTGGAACTCAGGACAGCCTACAGAGTTGCCTCTGCATGGCCCCATGGGAGTCTGACAACCAATCAGAATACAAGCTCCAATTCAAATCCCTACAAAGGTTATAAAACCCAGGCACTCTCAGCACCTCAGTCTCTTCTTGATCTTTTCCTTCATCCTGAAGCATGTGATCATCCTTCCTTTTCACTCTGGAGCTCCAGGCCATGTGGTCCTGTCCACCATTAAACCTTCCAAACAGCCTCCATGTTTCCAGTGTCTTTTTCCCCACTTGGAAGTTAACCCAGAAGGATATTTCTTCCAACAATTGTTTCAAGAGTTTTGTGTGTTTTTTATTGTTATGGTGTACACCTCCCGGAATCACTCTGTGAGCTGAGAGACTATACAAATGTGATTAAATACTTGACGGGTGAATTTTGCCATTTTGTTCACCCATAAGATATAATCCAGCAAGAATTGCTGCTAGTAAATCTCACTGAAACCAACAAGAGAACAAGTATTACAACATATCTTTAGGCTAAGGATGGAGCAGGAAAATGGAAAAAAGCATCCCATTCATGATCTAACCACTTGCAATGATCCTTTCACACAGCCACTTCCTACTGTCTTGGAAGGAAAACTGTAAAACAACTGATTTCTGTAACAATTTTGTGCATCCAGGTGTGGCAATCTGTTTCCATCCTCTGCTTGTTTCTGACAAAAAGGTTGCCCATTGTTGGGATTAGAAACAACAATACGTTGTTTTTTCCGAGCTGGTATTTTCCCAACTCCCATAATTCTCAGTTGATTTAACTATAGATTTTGGGATTTGTAGTCCATCATAAATGAAATTGTAGAAAGCTAGATAAACAGATGCATAATTCAGCAGAGTTCTTATGTTTCTGTCTGCCTCCTGGGGAGAGGAGGAAAAAGGCCCCTCTGGATATTATTAATTACTATTCCTCTCATCCATGTCCAACAGCCATTAGTTGCTCTGGCCTGCTAGAAGCTGCACTCCAGTAAATTACTATATCTCACCCTAAGCCTTTCCATCTTTATTCTATATAAAGCATGCTGTATACTCAACGATCCATCTCTTCCCCACCCACTCCCCTTGTACTATATTTTTTATTTCTCATCCTTTCATATTCCAGGACTTCCACTCACCCCCTTTATTATTTATCTTCTTCCACTTATTGTTTCTTCAAAGCACAGAGCCATTTCTTTACCAACAAGATGGCTTCCTTTCTTCTATGTTTATCACAAGCCAGGCTCTCCCAGTCAGGGAAGACAAATATTTTGCATGGCCTTAAACCAACACAAAAGCCATCCTTTCTGGCGCCATCAAGTCAGAGAGGTTTTTTGTTTTGTGTTGTCCCCCTCCCCGCTCCACCAATTTTTTTTTGGGACCAGTTTTGTCTCCTTGCTGTCCTCCCAACCCACTAACTCTTGTGACGACTTTGAAAAGAACAAGCAAAAAAAAAAAAAGTCTGTCATTTTAGAATAGAGGAGAGAAGTGGCTGAAAACTTCCATCCTTGAGGTTGAGCGGTTTTTTCTCTCTCTTTTAATTTTTTTCCCATTTTTGGCAGGTGGTTGATGGAAACCACATGATGGTTCAGCCCCTGAAGTCATTTGTGTGTGTGTTTGTGTGTGTGTGTGCATGCATGTGCGAGCATGTGTGTGAGCTCTATACCTCATTGAAACCAGCTTGCCTACAAGGAAGTCAACCCCTCTCAATCCCCACTAGTACAGTACAGCCTCCTCCAGTCCTGCGAAGGGCTTGACACACTCAGCTCCAGTCTGCTGGCAAAAGAGCGGGAGGGAAATCATACAAAAAACAAGCGGAGGAACAGAAAAAAGACGGTCTTTAACAAGGCAGCCAAGGAGAAGGCACTTGGGTGGAGAAGAAAGATTTACTTCAGGTGTGATTCTGAGGACCAAACTCTGATCTGAAGGTACTTTTTCTTTTTTTTTCCTTTTCCTTTTTCCTCTCTCAACTCATTTTCCAAAGTTTGGTGTGGTGTTTTTTGTTGTTTTTTTTTGTTCTCTCTCTTGGAAAGTCTTTGGGACAAATGGATTAAATGCAGTGGACCACACAGGAATTTCAGCCATGGAACCAGCAGAAACTGGGAATTTGGATTTTTTAGATCCCTTGCTCTCACCCTCAACTTAAGCCATGGTCTTCTGTTACTCTAACCCCATTAGAACTTCCTCCTTCCTAATTTTTTTTAAAAATCCACTCTGTTCCATTTACTGTCCCATCACTCTGTCTTGTCCACTCCTCTAACTATTATAAATCACTCGTCTTACACTCTCAGGAATCAATTGTAAGAGTCCTGCATATCTCCTTCTCACCCACCCTTTTTCCAGCCGCATACATTTCATGTGTACATAAAGGGGTGGAATTGTTCTCTCCAGTTGTCATTCCCTACATTTTGCTCTCTCTCCCTGTAAACTGATGAGAATCCCACTGTTAATAGCTTGCTCCTAAGCTCCTTTATTCTCAGGTTTCCTTTCATCTACTTGGCAGCTGCCTAACCTTGTAAGACTTATTTGATGGTTTCATTCTCGCTCCCTGGAAGAGCTTTTACAAATGCGTTGTAGCTGGAAAAGAACTACGATGTAGGTGTGTAACACAAGGAACCCAGGCTGATCTCAGCAGCCAGCCACACTTTATTCAGGCTCGCTCAGGGTGCGTCCCCAATTTTTTTTGAAGGATGGCTCAAACCCTACTAAGAAGGGAATTTGGGACTGTCATCTCAAACACCGTGTTTGGTCTGCACTTATGTGTGGCTGAGTAGGAGAAAAGGATGTTTCTCTGAAGCCCCAAGGTCTAATCCATTGGGGAATTCAGCCTTGAGGAAGTGAGGAGAAATGGCACATATTGTGGGATGGAAGTTGTGCGCATTCATCTGTGTTTTTTTGGGTCTTAGACCCCAAAATTTGTAGGAGCGGAGATCCTTGAATGTGGATCTTTCTCATTGCTAGGTATAGATTTACAGAGTAAATGTATGGACTGGCTGGGGTGATGACCCTCAACAATTCCCATAATCAACCAAGCTTGGAAGTATGGAATTGTAGCTGGAGCTGTATTTGTGCTTGTCTTGCTAATATATCAAAGGGGTCCATGGCCCCCAAACTCCTTGCATGCAAAGAGAGAAGTGAACTGAATGTATTTCTAAAGCAGGGTTTTCTCTTTTATTCCTTTCGCTTATGGTGTTTTCCCATCTCAGGGGTAGATGTGATCTCTTTCTTCTCAACGCCTGCAAACGAGTCTGGTAAAATTAAAACAAAGGGTGAATCTGGGGGGGCAATGCCGCTCCAAAAGGTCTTTCTGAGTTCCCATGAAAAGTCGCTCCGATCTGCTCGTTGACTCTAGTGCCCTCTAGCTCCACTTGCAATTGTGCAAGATGGGCCATCAGAGGAGCGCCTTTTGGGCCAGGTAGGGTCAGAATCTCTCCCTCCAATATCCCAGGAGCAGTTAGAGGACTCAGAAAAAACTCCCTCCCCGAAGGGCAGAAACTGCCTTTCCCTGACGTCTGGATTTTGTCTTCCCTTAGCCAATCAGCACCAGATCTTTCTGGCTGTTGGGGAACACAGAGACAGATCTTTATGGTTAAATTGATTTGCTGCCGATCTCGCCAAGGGGCTAACATTGAGACCCCCCACCTCTTGCTAAGGGGATACAGACCCCCCACCTCTTGCTAAGGGGATACAGAGAAGCCCTGTATTCTCGTCTGTAGTTTCTCAATTCAACATAGCATTTTTTTTTAAAAAAAAATCTTACATCCAAGCTGTCTAGGATTTGTCCAGCATGAGTCGAAACATGAGCAGAGCAGGCTGGAAGAGTTTTTTTCATTCATAGCCAGCATAAATGTTTGCAAACCGGGACTGCAAAGCCAGCAGCGTCTCTAGGAGCTTCCTATTCCCACCCTTGGAAGCAATTAGACAAGGAGGCCCCCCCGGGGGGGGGGATAGGAAACCCACAATGTCTGCCAATTTAAGCAAAGCCTCCCCAATCCTTTTTAGCGGATCAAGCACCAGGGAGGCGGGGGAAACGGCAACTTCTAGATGTTAGAAAGAGAGAACGAGAGGGAGAAAATTAAGGCGGACCGAGCTGATCCCAGTTAACACAGGAGAGGCATCCAGCTAAAATGGGAGATACAGGGAAGAGTTGGTGGCTTTCACGAAGAAGGCAAGAGGGGAGTGGCAGAAGCACTTAGGCCAAAGGTCTCCAAACTTGGAAACTTTAAGACTTGTGGACTTCAACTCCAAGAATTAGCATAGCTGGCTGAGGAATTCTGGGAGTTGAAGTCCACAAGTCTTCAAGTGGCCAAGTTTGGAGACCTCTGGCTTAGGCCAACAGAAGTGCAAAGTGCACACAGCTCCTTGCTCCTGTCTCCATTTTTGGGAGAGCAGATCCAGCCGGTTTGTGGAGGAAAGGCTGCCTGGGAGAAAAAACAACAACGATAGGCTTGCTTGCCAAGTCTGAATCCTTGTGCGCCAACTCGGCCTTTCTTGGCTGTGCAATTTCCTTGGCAGCCCCGCTGCTTGCTGAGCTGGCAGGCATGACCCACTGCCTGCCATTAGCATCTTCAAGCTGGCTCTACACAGCCACAGATGTCAAAGCCACACAGGCTCCTCTGACCCACAGCACGTGGCATTCCCCACTCCCACCCCCGCAGGCTTCTTATTTTTAATTTGATTGTCCCAGAGCTGTGTTGGTCAGTCAATCCTATACTTTGGTTTTTTTTCAATCGCCATCCTTTCCCCTTCTCCCAAAATCCACATTGTCATGCCTGAAATCAGGCCACCTGGATGGGTTCCAGAATCCCCTGCTCTAAGTTGGCAGCCAGAGTCTTGAATGGTCCTGACACTTGAATTCTGTCCCCATCTTTCCTGTCTCCTTACATCAAAGGTCTTCAAACTTGGCAAGTTTAAGACTTGTGGACTTCAACTCCCAGAATTCCTGAGCTAACCTGACTAGATGAGGAATTCTGGGAGTTGAAGTCCACAAGTCTTAAAGTTGCCAAGTTTGAAGACCCCTGTAATAGAGAAGAAACCAATTTGTCAGGCTTTATATACATAATGTCTCAGTCCCATGTTCTTTCCCAGGATTTTTTTTTTTAAATGCATACAATATACCTATGGTGTTGTGTTTTGTTTGGATCCCTTATTTAAAACATCTCTGCAATCTGGCAAAATATCCTTACTGGTTCAGAGGATTGTTTCTGTGGGAATAAATTTGAGAGGCAGGGGTGCTGTGTAGGCCGCCTTGATCTCCTGACCTCATAGGGAAGTGGGTTATAATAAACCTAATGGAGAAAGGAGTAAGTAAAGTGTTGCTTTGGTGCAATGACTAAGAATGAGGGAGGTGACACTGGAACCAAAGTGTCCCAGCTTTGAGGCTTTCAATTGCAATCAATTTGGAATTAAAATTTGCCTTTCTCCCTGAGTGCCTCTCAGCCTCATCCAAGCATTATGACTTGTAGTAACAAAGGCAGGCTTTATGAACAGCACAGGGATGATGGCTACCACTATGAGATATTGCAAATCACTAGGGAGGAAAAGGCTAGGGACTACAAATTGAGTGCTTTAATTATACACTCTCCCTCGCAGTAGGCTGACACTGTTGATCTAGACTTGTCAACTCAAAGAAAGCCCTGTTAAATATAAGTGTAGGTATAAGTATGCCTAGAATTTCAGACTGAACATCCTGCAGAAGAAGAAAATATATTGAATATAAGTAGTATTTGTTCAGAATGGAGGAAGTCATTAAAAAAGCAAGAAATGCAGCAATGGTGACTAATTTCTTTATCCAATATCAGCACAGTCTAATTATGCACATCATTCTCACGATATGTCAACATTTCAAGCTGATTTATTTATCATACACATATATATTCCATCTTTCCTCCAACAGCTTCTGGGGAGGTGTTATTCCTTCTGTCTTCATAACAATCCGTGAGTTGTTTAGGCTTAGGGATTGATTCAGATATGCACACAATTCACATGAAACATCGGATAAGCATCATTTCTTGATGAGCAATACAACTGATTATGGACTAACGACACATCCTAACAAGGAGTAATCCAAGTAACAAGTAAACAACTCAAGGAATGTTGCCAGCTGTAAGATTTATTTTCCCCCCACTCAAATAGCAAAAGAAATATAGTTTGAAAAAACAGGAATCTTTTTGATTATTAGTCCATTTGGCCTATCATTATTTACCATAATTCCTACAGTTGCTACAAGGCCTCCTATTTGAACATGTTTAATTGAAGATACCATAAATTGGAAAGCAAATTCTGCCAAATGCCACCATTAAGCTACCACCTGTTCCTGTATGCACACACACACACACAAATACCCCCCCACACACAAAATTGTCTTTTGAAACTCAGAGATACTTTTTCTATGGTGTCACCTGGAAATGGTTCCCCCATAGGGGAGTCATGAAATTCTTTGTCCCAATTGTACTTAATCATGATGCAAACATAATAAGAACTGCAAATACCAGTAGTACTTAATCAAGATGAAAAGTATCTTGTTTTTGTTGCGTCTCCATGACCTTGTCCTTATTTTGTTCCCCACCTTTAATATAAGATTGTATTGAGACATCCTGAGCTATACCTGGTTTAACAGATCCTTCCTCCCCTTTATATACAGGTAGCTCTAGTCTAGACTTACAACAGTTCATTTAGTGAACTGTTCAAAGTTACAATGGCATGAAAAAGGTGAGCTATTATGACCATTTCCCACACTTATGACAGTTGTGGCATCTTCATGGTCAATGTGAACAAAACTCAGATGCTTGGCAACTGACTTATATTTATGATGGTTGAAGTGTCCTGGGCTCATGTGATCACCGTTTGCAGCCTTCTGACAAGCAAAGTCAATGGGGAAGCCAGATGTTGGGCTCAATTGCAGTCATAAGTCAAGGACTACCTGTAT